TAAGTAAGTAGTAAGTAGTAAGTAGTAGTAGTAAGTAGTAAGTAGTATAGTATAGTAGTAGTATAGTAGTAGTAGTAGTAGAGTAGAGAGAGAGAGAGAGAGAGAGAGAGAGAGAGAGAGAGAGATACAATAAAGTACCATAGAAAAGTATTTAAGTGATAAATGTATAAGAGAGAGAGAGAGAGATCCATAGAGTCCATAGAAAAAAAAGTTCGCACTAACTGTATAGAGAGATAAAGAGAGAGATCAATAAAGTCCATCGAAAAGTTAGCACTAACTGTATAACATGAAGTCGATGCCAACGCAATTGTGTACCCGGTTGTATGAAAAAGCCAAAATGAGGATCTCATTAGTTTTAGCTGCCAATACTATAAAGGTACAATTTTTGCTGTGCCAAGGTAGACTGGAAATGAACCCAAGTCCAGCCATTGTGGATGGGCTTTCCATAAACGATTATCCGATAATGCTCCGAAATCCCAATGACAAACCAGTTTGTTAAATGTGTCCTGATTCAAACTAAAACAAAATGTAGGCAACCAAAATGCAAACCACATTAGAGAGCTCACAGAAAGCAACTTGTCAGAAAATCTATTTCTTTACCAATGAAGAAAATTTGGAAACAAAAAATAAGATCAAGAGGGAGTCTAGCTCCCCAACTGTAGGCACAAACCAACAAGCGTGGATTGCATTCATATTCCATTCATAACACCTGCAGTACAAAAAAATATAGAGTGTGTGTTTTGTTCTTAAGTCTCAACCATCTGCCTTATCCTGCACAAAGACCCAAAGAAAAGCAGCATCAAATTAGTCTTAGACATAAATGATGAATACAGTTAAAGTCATCATCAGTAACAGAAAACCAAACTAAACAGGTGTAGAGTCACCAGTTGTATGTGAAATCCGATGCTGATATAATTCAAATGCAATATTTCCTGAATTAATATCAGAGATTTGGGGCTTCTACATGAAGGGCCACAATAAATTTTTCGGGTCTAACCATATTAAGCAGCCTTATCAAAGTTCATTAAATGAGGTTTCCCAGGCCTAGATTGTAATCAGGTTTAGACGCTTAATATTATTTATTCACAAAATTGTTTCTTCCCTGGAGTTTAGGATAAAAAAGGTTTTGTTAACTCCAGAAAAAAGTAGATCACGTTCAGATGAGCATCATTGAACAAGACATGGCACAAGAAAAATCGATGTGCACACAACTTCCAGAATGAAGAAGGGAGACACACTTGGCAAGCATACATACCTACAGATACACAGACATAGCGGATAGATATCTAAATACATACGTACATACATGTGTGCACATACTACATACCACATTATCGTTTTCAGCCTCTAGCAAATCATCAGCTGCACCTTTTGATATACAGTTCACATGTACAATGGAAACTGGAGAAGAGCTGCCATCCCCACCATTACCACTCATGTATGTGGCTCCTTTGTACATCCATTCATCTCTCTCGTGGCTATAATAATCTTCAAATGGCTCACCACATAGAATGCATATGCACTGGCTCTCATCAGCAGGGACTACAGGTTCCTCTTTCTCTACATTGGAAAGCTTTTCATCCAAGGGAAAGGAAGCATCTCCAGTTGAGGGCCCAACATCACCTTCAACCCAGTTCCTCAAGCTTACATACCAGTTCCTCAACACTCTCTTTCCACTACTCTGTTCATGGTTCTTTGAAGCATGCCACTCCAAGTGTTTGCTAAGCTCTTCTTGACGATTAAACCGCAGGCCACATGCACTACATCGATGGGGCATCGCATCAAAAAGCCCACTTATCACAGATGGGTGTCGCTCCCGGATTACTTCTGGCTTGAATTCAATACCTATGAGATTAGGTTCAATGGCTATTGGGTCCTTGGTATCTACTCTTGGAGCTTGAGGAGGGGCGCTGGAGATTGAAGTAGAGACCCAAAGCTCTGGTTCATCTATAGGAATAGAGGTTGGTGGAGTTGAAGAAACTAGGCTCCTAGAACTAAGCATTGAAGTTGCACTGGTAGCAACAACTGCGGTTTGGTGCTGAACTTCTGTTGGGGCATGAGAAACAGGGGGGTTTGATGACTCAGAGGTTGGTGCTGAAATCAAGCCCTTTGCCACGAGTGAGCTAAGGAGTCCTGAAAGCTGATTAGATACACCACTTGCCGTGCTTGACGCCTGTGATGAACCTGCAATGGAAGAAGCAGGAGGTGGGCCCGGAGGTAGTGGAGGCTGCAACATTCCAACGGGTTGCGTTGACAATGATGACATATTTCCAAGTGGGTTAGGACCCAATAAGGATGAGACTGATGTTACAGGCAAAGAAGAAGTTTGCGGGATGGGAGGTGGACCAGTTGGTAACGGAGGCTGGATGTTCAAATTTGATGGTGTGCTCATTGAATCAGAGTGCCTAGGGATTGCGGAACTACTGGTCGATAAAGGCTGAGTATTTGAAGGAGTAGATTCTAATGGCAATATTCCACTTTGCAAAATAGTGGCCAGTAAAGTCTCTGTGCTTGACTGGCCCTGGGGTTCCACAGGTAGGTTCTTTGGGAGACCTGCTCCAGAATAACCTGAAGTTCGAGGAGGTCCAAAAGTTGGAGGTTGAGCATGTGGAATTTCTAGATTGGGGGGCTGTCCAAAGTGGAGCTGGTGATGCCCTTGTTTAGAGGGAGGCAGTAATGAAGATGAAGCACCATGAAAACGTAGAGGTGGTTGTATCTGTAGAGGTGCTTGGAGACTCTGCAAAATGCTTGAATTGTGACGCTTCGGAGAAAAGGAATCCTGGTTTTGTGTGGACTGATTTATTGCTTGTGAGCCCTTTTGACCTGGTTGAGTAAAGGACTGGGCTTGGGCTTGTTGCATGGGGTCAAGATCATGCAGACTGGGTGGTTGATGAAGTGGAATCTGAGAGGAATAAGGTAAATGGTGAAAAGGAAGCTGAGAAGATGGTGAAGGAGGTCTCTGAGGTTGTTGTCTCTGGTGTCCAAATAACCCACTTGACCCAGGTATCATTTGTGATGTAGGTCCAAAGCTAGAGGGAATTGACCCAAGAGGCATGCCTAGGTTGGATTGATTCCCAGCTTTCCCAAAAGAAGATGACGCCAAACTGGTTGGTAACCCTGTTTGGATCAAGCCATCAACTGGGTGAATCCTTGGTCTTAACTGGGACATGCTCATATTTTGTTGTGGTGGCCACCCAGATAACAGTCTTCGCTCAAATTCAGAGGGTCCTCCTCCCTGAGATGGAGATTCAGCTGAAGTATCTCTCCTGCTCCTTGGATCAATATCTTGTTGACCATGGGATTGTAATTGGGGATCGTCAGGCTCCTGCGGAGGATCAATTCTTAATAAGATTTCTTAATAATATGAAAATAATGGTTAAAGAAAAAGTTAGATTGACTTGCCATATCTATTTAAAATCATAAAGGGAATAAGAATAAAAGAAAAAGCTCAATATTTTGGAGTTCGGGAGTTTTTTCTGACTTTAATAATCAAGAATTTGTGGAATTTGGATGCAATTTCTTAAATACCCTGACATTTTGCAAATCAAATGTAAAAAAAGGAAAGGAATTATCTCCCAAGCTACATTCATTTCATCAATATTAAGATGCAATTTATTTCAAGAGATTCTTAGCGAAAATTTAGGCTATAAGAAAGTAAATGGGTGAATGTTGTTTTACTTATTCTAATTTTGGAAAGGGTTACAACAGAATTCTAAACTAACTCCAAATTCCGAGACAGTAGTTATCATGAATTTGCAAAATTTGGATTCAATTTCTCGAAACAACCTGTCATTTCAAAAACCAAATAAAAAAAGAAAGGAATTATTTCCCAGATCCCATTAATCTCATCAACATTAAGGTACAATTCTTTTTTCTTTTTTAGAAAGTGTTAGGATGAAATTTATTTCAAGAGTTTCTTCGCTAAAATTTAGGCCATAACAACCAATACAAGTGAATCTTGCTTTACATATTTAATTTGGGAAGGGCTAATACCAGAATTTCAACCTAAACTAACAAAATAGAAAACCATGCCCAAAACCATATGTATGTAAATATGAAACAACTAATTTCAATCAACAAAAATAAATCAAAGAGGGAAAATACTCTTTTCAAAGACATTCCATCTTCACCGACTATGGGCTTCTCCAACCGAGATGAAGTTTCCAGTGAGTTCCAGTTGGCATCTAGAGGATCAGACTCAGATGGCATCCACTTGCCCCTTGTCATGCTTGTTGGGTTCCCTGCATCATCAGAAACCCAAGGGTCTTTAGATGACCTATCAGCCCCTCCATGCTCTGTTAATCTAGAATTCATATCATCCCACATGTATTCTTCTTCTTCAGAGTTCTTCCAGTTCCTGGAAATCCCCCCTCTGCCGCTTTTGCCAGCAACATCCTGAGGAGGAGGTAGTTGAGGAACCACATGAGCAGGCCTTGATGGTCTATGACTTCCATATGCATCAGTAAGACCTCGTTGAGGTAATTGTGGCATGCTGTGTCCATTCTTTGGTCCAAATGGTGGGTTTGTTGTAGTGCCTTCGACTCCTCCATATCTACCCCTGTCCAATCCCTCCTCTTTCTCAACAACCCTTTCAATGCTTCTTACAGTTCTAATGTCTGAACGCCTAGCACGATCTGATGCAAATTTATAGTCTCCATAGCCTGTGCTGGGCTTCTTCCCAAACAAAGATTCACTCAATGGCTCTCCACTTTGAGGACGCTGAATGTTCTGAAATTGTAAAGCCCAATTTGATATCTAAGTAATCCAGAAAAAAAAAGAAAAGTAACATCTCATTTATCCAACACTAGAAGCAAACACGAGTATGACCAAGCAATTGACAAAACTGCAATCAATGATTCACAGTCAGGGATTTGATTCACAAAAACTAACAAATGCAGATATCAAATGGTGATGTCACAAGCTCAAGCCAGAGGATTTTATATCAGAAGTCAACCTGTGAGGGCATTATCTTATGGTAACAAGCAATAAGCAAAGCTCAAGAAATCCAAGGGAAACAAATGTCCCCACTTCCACACAACATAATGGGCACACACATATCAGCCATAAGTGGGGTAACAGATGCCATTATTGAAACTCTTTAAGAGGGGGAGGAGGGAATTAAGCTTTAAACCATTATGAATGCCTGGCCTCCTACTTAATCTCAATCATCGCTTCTCTAGCAGTCATTCTTACCTTTTTAACAGTTTAATGTTAATTCTCATGTACAAATAGAACTGCTTCTTTTCGAAGTACAACTATGATAGCTCAGCAGTTTAAAAGTGACACCAGTTCAATTCTGTGTAACACAAAAGAATTGTCCATTACAATACAAAATTCACACGTTTGCAACGGGCAAGAAAGCTAAAGAGATGAAAGGGGTGCTACTCATTTCTTGATTAAGAGCTATAATCTTCACCCCAGCTAGTTAGCATATGAAAAAACCATCCATCAGTTACTAATCATCCTCCATCTGTAACAGGTTACATGGGAAATTCCCACATTTTGTATAAATAGTGACATTTGAATCCTGAATGATGTGAACTGTTTCGTATCCTTCTGCTGATAGCTCAGTGCCTTCTGCATGTTGCCTGATTCCAGTGCGAGTCTACTGATAACATATGTACAAGTCATAGATGCAATCATTACATTAGTAACCCCACTACAAGTGAAATGTCACTCTATCTTAAATCCAAGTTCAAAAAAGATAAATTGTGGGTTCCACAAGGAGCCTATATCAAAGCATTTAGTGATGAGACATTATGCAGAAGTAGATATCAAGATAAGAAAACCAGCCATCTATTGAAAAGATCAGGTTTGTTTTTATTTGAAATTCTGAAAAGATCAGGTTAGTTTTTATTTGAAATTCTGAAAAGATCAGGTTAGTTCTTTTGGGTATTCAGAATATGTTGTACCAACATGCATACGCAAGTAAAATATGCTGAATTGCTTTGGCATTCAACCCGACAAGACTGTGATAGGTTATAGAACATGTACATTTGGGCAGTCATTAGCTACAGAAACAAGCATTTCATACTTTGTTAGCACGAACACATATACCATCACTTCACATCTAGTATAGATAACCTTGTACCATTAACTGACCTCTCCAATCAAGGATATCAGATCGTACACAATTTCAAGGCTATATCATTTATACCATTTAGATATTATACAAGAGAATTCCACTGATGCTTCTTTATTGTGCCTCGTCTGAATTTATTGCAATGGTTCTAAAAGTTCCACAACCTTAATAAACTAGGCATGGAACAAAAGCGTCTCCTTCTAGAGTGTGACAGAAATATAAGACAGCCGAAAACTGAATTCCACCATATGAATCTCCTCCCCACCAAGAGAAAAAAAAAAAGAAACAGAACTCATGTATCCAACAGGATAATGATCTATCATGAAGAAGGCTGAAATCACAACAACACCAAGATATGCACAAAAAGAAAGGGGTTAACACAGCTTCAGTCATATCTGGCATAATCTAATGAATAAAACTAAATTAATAACATATGGCATAAAGGTAAACAGGGAAACTAATGTAAACAGGGAAACTAAGGTAGAAAAGTCATTACATTGAAGAATTGGAATTCCCAACAGGTGTTAAAGCCTACATTGAAAAGAGAAAAGATCATAAGGGAACCAAACAGGTATGAAACTGCAACAAAGGTACCTTAACAGGAAGGTCCGGCCACTGCTTTGGACTCCCACTGGTCATAGCTCTGTCAGAACTCTCCATATGATCGGCCAACGAAACGCCATTGTTGTCCGCGCTTATTCCTTTTGCCTGGAACATATGGATTCCATAAAGGAATAAAAAGAGAGAAATTTGTAGACATAATTTTGAACTGACAACCAAATAAAAAATATTCCATCAGATACAACTGCATCAGCACTATAACACACTAATTTAGTAAAAACCATGTAGTGCGATTTTGCTATATAAACAGCAGTGAACTTGAAACAAATGGCTTGGAGTATTACCACATTCTTTCATGAAAGAGAGATTGAAATGGAAAAAGGATATTAGGAAGACGAGATGAAATTGCCTCACAGAGATCTTATATCATTAACATGAGATAGTTAATCATTACTGTTACTAGCCAACATACTCATAATCATTGTCGTAAAGCATTTTCCCAACTATCTGGGGACTAGCCAACATACTGTTCGCACTAAATAAAAGAGTAGACCAAGAAAAATACAAATCGATACAATCTCAAATTATTTTTGGACAAAAAAATAGTCAGTTGCATTAGAACCACAACCAGAATGACCAGCCCAAAATCATTTCAAGCAAACAAAACCTTAGAAGGACATGATAGTAACTAAGATTGAAAAGGGAGCAGAATATGGGCAGTCTGAGGCAGAAGCAATACTTTTATTTTAACATCACAGTGGAGGCATTGCGCAATTTGAACCCATTCCTCATATGAAACAGATGAGATCATTAATTGATCCAGCCACAATATCACATTCAAGCAAGCTTCTTTTATTTACAACAAAAGCCTTCATAACGGCTCCAGTGGGATTCTAACGCATGCCTCCTACATGCAAGAGAAGAGGTTCTCCAACTGAGATAGCTGTCATATAGCATTCTGACTATATATTATGTGTTTAAGACGTAATATAATTTATATTACGAATTTCCATCATTATACTTGGTCTAAGAAGGGTGAGGACCTTAAACTTTCCCTTAACCTGCCCCATGCCCAGGTGAAGGAGCTGGGGTGTGTTAGGTAGGCAGCCAACGTAAAACTTTGTCAACACCTGTCATGAGTCTTGAACTATGCTAGCCTCACTAAGGGATGACCCTTAATAGAGCAGAATGGCAAACCAAGACTTGTGTAGCGGACCCCAATTAGTTGGAAAAAGGTTTTGACGATGATGATGATGATTTCCATCATTATAGTATACAATATTTGCATCGAGTGAATGCATTTTTTAGAGTGACCAGAACCAGATAAAAAATATGGGCATAAACATCACCTACATTTGAGAAGAATCCAGATTCAAACACCAAACCAGTAAGTTCATGTCATTCAATTTACAAACTTTAACTTAGGGTATGTTTGGTTACACTCTAATGTCCTGATATTTCAGGATATTATAGAATCTAATATAATTCTAATAATAGAAGTCTGTGGACCATGTTTGAGATGATCAAATCATATTATGTAATATCCAAATAACCGTCTAATATCAATATCCCCAAGTATTCAGCTGAGTTGAAATTTTGGGGATACTAAAAATTTAATGGGCGGCATTCTATTTCTCCATCACTTGATGGGGCTCACTTTCTCGTTCACACAGAGGCCTTACCCTTGCTTCTAAGCCGAGACACTTTGTCTCTCATCCAGCCCTTTCTCGTCCAACAAGGGTTTCCTCTATTACCGTTCTACTCTCGATGTTGTCAATCTCTTCACTTCCTCTCCTCCTCCGAAGCCCCATCGCCACCACCATCATATCCCATCCAAACGACCTACTAATTATGGCTTGTTGCATTATGGTTCAAGCCCCATGTAAAAGTGAAGCAAAGCTCGGCTCTCTGAAACCATTGGAGCCCAATCCTCCATAATCGCCTGCAACTCATCAATGGCTTTGAAGAAGATTGCAGGAAAATCACCAGATTCTGGCCAAATCGGGTTTTTCTCCAGCTACCTAAGAGAGGATTACTGGCTCTAACGCCAGTATCGATCTATCAAGCTCAAAAGGCTCTAGTCCATCCAATTTTTACCCAATTTTCATAGGGCTTCTTGTTTACTTTTTTTACTCTTTCTTCTTTGGGTTTTTGTTTACTGTTTTCCAAATTTCTCTGGTTTTCTTGTTTATTGATTTTTTACCCAATTTTCTTTGGCTTTTTGTTAGCTGGCTTTACACCCATGTTGCCACTTTCTTTGGGTGTTTGTTTACTGTGTTTTTTGCCCAATTTTCTGTGGGTTTTGTTTACTGTTTCTACCAAATTTTCTTATGAGTTCTGATTACTTTTTTTTCGCCCAATGTTCTTTGGGTTTTTGTTTACTATTCCTTACCCCATTTTCTTTGGGTTTGTTTTTTTACACTGTTTTTTACCCAATTTCCTATGGGTTTTGTTTACTGTTTTTTTACCCAATTTTCGTTGGGTTTTGTTTGTTGTTTTTTCCTCAGTTTTCCTAATTATTTAGTTTATTGTGAAGGTAAATATGGTGAAGGTGAGTTAGGGGACAGTTTCAGTCTTCAAGAAGCCTTGGCTTTGCTCATTTCGAACTGCAAAGGTATAGTTTAATGTCAATGGAGGTCTCTTTCTCTCTCTATATCTTACCTTTAGATTGGTCCCGAAAGAACTTGCTTTTTACTTCAAATCTCCAAGGCACTCACACGGCCAAGCATTCAAAGGGTGGGAGAAAGGCTTGAGAGAGAGAGAGAGAGAGAAATAGGTTCTATGCGTGACTAGTTCTGATAAGATAAATGGATGAGGGACGTAGAGCCTATGAATTTGCCCTCTTGAAAAAACCCCCACCATTGCAGACTTGCTTCTCCATTCTCTAGCCTTGGTGTTTCACAGGGAGAAATTGTGAGACCATGCCTTTCCCATTTTCTGTGTTCCTAACAATCAAATATTCTTGACCTAAGAAAATTACAGCCAAACATGCATAAAAGAAGATATATAAGAATAGTATATAATTCAAAAATATGCAAAGCAGCCAATGCCTTTATTCATATTTTTTAAAATTGAATATTCAGATTCTGTTTTGTCAAACAGAGCCTTAGAATATATTATAGACGCTTGCTATGTCCTTATCCTGATGTTAATTCCGTAGTTTTTTCATTAATATAGCCTTTTGATGAGCTTTCTGCAGATTTTCTGTTCTATATTCCAAACATAAGTTCCTACATGATGAAGGAGTTCTTTAAACGTTAATATCCAATGAATTATAGGAAGAAAAAAATGGACTAAACATGCCAATTCTCAGAAGAGGACTTTAACTGAATGCTAAAGCTGAACTGTTTTATTGGAGATAGCTGAACTATTTTATTGGAAATACCTATTTACCTTTAGTTAAGGAATGAACATACACAAAGAAGGATTTACTGGCAATATACAATTCATTAACACCTACTTAAAGTCATTACTGTGACTGAGTTGTTAGTCCAGGTTCTAACCACTTCAAAATCAGAATATCCAAAGATGCCAAAATTCTCCAATAACCAAACAAGGATGCCATGAACCCTTGAAACTATAACAATATGATGTTTGACAAAACATGACATACAAAACTGAATAACCATTATATCAGATGAATCAAGCACCAGTATTCATGAAATATCCATAACCAGTATCAACTTACAAGAGAACTTCATATACTAGTACAATCTTACTTACCCTGCTTGATTGTTGAAGGCGTTGCCTGGCTTCTAAGTACTTAGGATTTACATGAATGCTATGTGGTGGACGCTGAGAATCAGGCCTTGAAGCTGGTGCTCCCGAAGAGGAACTGTTTGTGGCAGGAGGAAAATCCAATTGCTTCTCAATGATCTGAAGTGGGGCAGGAGGAAACACCCCTTTCCATGTCCGGAAAAGATGATGCATACCAGCATGAATAGAAGGATCAACCTGTCTATAGGCCTTGCAGAATACCTAAATAATAAAGAATGTGTTATGACATATGAGAATCAAGAAATAAAAGCTAAAATATAATTTATGGAAGTATAATTTTAGCCAGAAAAACTCACATCAGGTAGTCTGGCTGCAAAATACTTTATATAATCTCCTCCAATATTTTTTACAATGCTATCCAGAAGATAGAGAGAAGGAAGTTTTTGCTCACTTGGAACCTGCATTTAATGCTAAATTCATCAGTGATTACAGATTATGAAAGACCAAAAGAAGGGGCAGAAACCAGAAATCATGCTGGTACTCTGCAATCACAACACTCCCTAACAAAAGGAAAAAGTACCACAAAAACAACAAAGGGTGTGATTATTCTGTCTGATCTCAAACCTCTCAAGTCAAAGCCCAATTTATGCTGCATACTACAAAGATAGTTCCTATATCCAACATGTCATACCACTATTCTTTTTGTCAAAATTACTCATGAACCCTAGCAATTTAAGGTGTCTTTGTGACATTTCTAAAACTAACGAATTTTACTTTTTCAAACATAAGTTCCCCTCCTCACAAGCAAGTGTGACCTGACCTCTTTTGGCCCTACTTCGAGGTGAACATGCCAGACCACCTCTCGCCTTGCCTTTTGAAGCAGCAGAAATGGCCCCTAGAAATCACACCATATCCAATGATCTCCCATGGTTCGCTCATTCCCAGGCCACCCATTCTTTCTTTCTTAATTGACTAGTAGGTTTTTAGTTTTCCTTTATAATTATACTTCCCTTTTCCTCACTCCCTCTCTCTCTCTTTTCAAGTTCAATTTTCTTGTTCTGTCTTTGGTTCCTTTTCTAAAAATGCCCTCTAGTCATGTAGTTTTATTTGGTGGTCCAATAAGGTTGAGGACCTTAGACTTTCCCTTATCCGTCCCAAGCCCAGGTAAAGGAGGTAGATTGTGTTAGATAGGCAACCAATGTAAAACTTTGCCACATCTTATAATGAATCAGAAGAACGAAGGAACAAGATTAGCCGACCCCAAATAACTAGGATAAAGCTTGGATGATGATGATGATAATGTTGTTGCATCTGGTAGTTTGCTTCTTTTCCCTTTTGTTGTAATGGGAAATGTATGTAAGTATAGAAAGACAAAAAACAAAACAATTTGAGTACTATAAGAGCTTCAAATTACTCCAAACAGAGAGACACTAGTGAGTTCGCCAATGCATATATCCTTTTCCCTAAAAGATAGCTGATGAAAATTTCCATGCATACAAAATGTACTCCAAATCAAATAGATCAAATTTTTCATTGAAGCGGTCAGTATTTTGAAAAATATTTTCTTTATTTTTTATAGTTTGGAAAACAATTTATTTGATTTCTGACATTTTCCAGGACAAATGAAATAACAAATACAAAATAAATGGCCATAAAAATGGTAAATTTTACAAGGGGGAAAAAAACAAGCTTTAACACAGTGGGTGCACACCCTGCATCAAATGGATCCTATGCCCACCATGAAAAGAGAATAAATTACACTGCATTTTTAAGGAAAAACATGCACTTTTTCTTTTATGCCCATTTCAAAACATTTTCATAGCAGTCTCCCCGAACCCTACAAGAATCTGGACAGAATTGGATTCACAAATCACTATTAACCACCTTAAGGGTCTCAGGATCCCTCCATGGCATTGCTTACCAGATTTGCTTCCATTCAACAATCTTTGGAAGGTCTACAAAGGTTAGCCTTTCATATTCTCCATGAAAGAAACCAATGTTTGAAAACTTGGACACAGTGACGCCCGAGCCCAAGTCAGCGGTTTGACTCAACCAGTCTCAAAAAGACTTGGCCAAATCTTTGACAAAAGTACACAATAGGGTCCCAGACCTAGTTTGACTCAGAAGATTCTTGAGGTTTTGGAACTGGAGCCGAGGACCCTGCCAGGTCCCAGTAACTAGGGTGAGTCTGAACGCAAGTCAATGAGTTCTCAATCACTGAAAGAAACCAATCAAAAGGCATTATTGACTGTCTTCGGGTATCAGTTACCCTCCATACAATCATTTAACAATCCTTAAAAAGCATAAAATGGTTCATCACAATAATTTCCATGAAGGAAATAACCCAGCCAAATGGTTGCCCAAAAGGGGCTGCAATAATCAGTTACTATTGACTAAACTTCCAGCACTCTCCACATTCTTTATTCCAAGCATTGATCTTAGAAGACATTAGCATCGTCCCTTTCCTTGATTTCCTCTTTCATTTTGTAGCCCACTTTTTCTATTGGGTTTTGCTCCCAACTATTGTACGGGGTGACTTTGTCATTCAATTCATTTTTCATTCAACAAAACTTATACATTTACCCAAAAAATGAATTCTATCAAAATAAAATTGCATATGCTATTTGTTAACAACCCTTGTACCTGATGACCATGTCATTCAATACAGTTTTCATTCAACAAAAACTAATACATTCACCCAAAAAAATGAAGAATATCAAAATATGATTTCATATGCTATCCATACGACAAGATGGAGATGGCAAAGAACTTATTTGCGTTCTCATGACAACAAATTAAATCCTTGCGATCCGCAAGTTAACACTTACAAATGATATCATAGTACTTCAATGCACAGGCCAGGTTATGAACTATACAATGGTCTCAAATATAATTCAACAAGCTTCAAAGTCACTACCTCCTTTTGCATCTTTTTCACAAACAGAAGTCTCAGTCCATCAAACATATAAAAAATCAGAGTCTCTCAAAATACTTTGTTGTTGTCTAGCAATAATTTCAGAGCTGTTGATATGATAAAACAAGATTTCTAGTGGCCTCGAAGTCAGAAAGATACCAACCTTTTCTTTTCTTTTTTTTCTTAAAGTTAGAATTATATCAACTTTCCCAGTTAAAAGAAAACCATCCAGAACATGTGAAATCAACATAGGAAGACATAGATAGATAGATAAAAGGTATACAGAGAAAGAAAGTGAAAGAGGGACTAGCTAGAGAGAGACAGGGAGAGGGTAAAGACATATAGAGAGAAGAACTAGTAAAATAGGAAGGATTCATATACAGTATGAAGAGAGAGAAATTGTACCAAATTACCTCGAGAATGTTACCGCAAACAGTAGCTGCAATCCATTTTGCAGCATGAGTGTTCTCACCTGCAATAATGGTGAGATTCGTGATAATTGGCTTTGAATTGAATGTGAGCTCAGCAAGAGCAGTCTTATACTGGCTCAAGAGCTCTTGAAGGTGGTGTTGTTGCTGAAACTGAGCTCCTCGACCTGAATTTTCTCTGGGGTTATCAGTTTCTTCATTAGCCTCCGTTCTTCCTCTCTCCCCTTCTCTATCTAACCTATACCTAGGGAGCAATGGGCCAGAGGTACCTCTAAGCCCCGGCCTTTCTCTCTCAACAAGGCCATTAGGCCCTCGATCTCTCTCGACGCCCTCGATTAACCTAGGCTTCTTTAGAATCGAACGGTCCGTCGGTCTTCGAGAGCTATCCATCTCCATTTCTAACCTAGAAACCTCTCAGAAACGGTAGCCCTAGCCCTAAAACCCTATTTCTCAGAGGTTCTAAGAGTATGGGGTGGGAACCGAGAGAAAACGAGTGAGAAATTGGAAAAGGAGTTACGGGGTGGTGCAGAGAGAAAAGAGGGAGGAGATAGGGAGGGCTTTGGGGTGGTTTAGAGAGAGAAAGAGGGCCCATGGTTGCAGAGGTTCTAAGGGGAAGTTAGAAATGGCACATAGCGGAAACATTTGAGCTCAGTATGTCTTTCGAGGGCTTTGCTCATAAATGATACCACCGTCCTGACATTTTTAGAGAGAGAAAGAGTGTGAAAGAAAGGGTGAAAAAATTTTAGTGAGAGGAGAGAGAGGGCGCAAAATTGTTTTTTTAGATAAATGGGCGCAAAAATGTCAGTGACATAAGGGTTAGAGAGAGAAAGGGTGAAAAATGTTAGTGAGAGAAGAGTTAGAGAGAGGAAAAGTGCAAAAATGTTAATGAGAGAAGAGGGGGCGGGGGCATAACACTTCGAATCACTATTTCCAATGAAAATTTGATGGAATCAAGTCCCGAGGGTGTATACTATGCTCCTGCCGGTGTAAAGTGTATACTTACCCTCTCAAGCAGAGGAATTAGGAAGGTTGTTTCTTTGGGGGTGTGGTTTGTAACGCTCTAAAGTCTAAACAATTAAATTAGAGTCTACTTTTAAATAGTATAAAAAAAATGTGGTTTCAAAATAAGAAATCTTTTTGATAGCTTTAAAATATACTTTATTTTTATTTATAAAGTTTAAAGCTTCAAAAATAGTGTAGATTGAAAATATAAAATATACTATTTTCAAAACTTGTAATCCATTTTTTTTTCATGTGTATGCATCTTGAGGTTGAGATAACCGATTTGAGGATATTTGGGTATCAAAACAACCTCTTCTAAATTTTTGATGCGTGTTTTAATTTGATTGTTTAGAACCCCGGCTCTATATAAACTTTTCCTTCTTTTTTGTATCCAAAATTTTGGAACTTATAGGCGGAATCACGAGATGATTAAATTAAAAAAGTAAATTTTGAAGTTTGTGACGCTTGAATTTTACTATTAAAAAATTGGATCGAAAATTTCAATTCAATCTTAAAGACATTATTTTTTAAAGCACACATAGAGTGTGACTAGGAAATTTTTTTATTGAATTCAGGTCATGTATTGAATTTACGGTTCTAAAACTTGGGGTCGTACGGATACTCTAAAATTGGTTCTTACTTAAGAGAGTAAATAAACATTATGCTCCCTCAATAACATAAAACCTTTTGGAAATAGTTGGTGTTTGAAATCGGCAGATAGGAAATCAATGGTAGAAATGGTCCCGTTTCTTGCCCGAACCAATAATCGGCTGGTTCCTTATTAGCGAACCGACCGATTTTCTCAAAGAAGTGGAATGTTATCGTATTTTTACTTCTTAATTAGTTGTTTCTTTTTGAAATTTTGAAATTTTTTATTTTTTATTCTTCAATTGACTAGAGCTATCAATTTGAATCAACAATTCCATATCGATTTTCCGAATGGCCGATTCACCTAATTAGTGGGGGTTTTAAAATATTAAAGGGAATCTTTTAAACATAGAAACACTAAAAAAATAAGACATTGCGTCTGGCTACCTAAAAATCTATTACATCATAATCGATTACGAGAAAATATAACTATTTCCGCTGTTTGGATAAGAAATAGAATAACATTACCGGAGATTTTCTAAAAAATCATTAAATACATTTTTTATAAACACTCTTTAAACCCCTTCTTTTGATCTGTATTTTTTTAAAACCCTTTTATCTTTAAGCCCCTTCCTCTCATAGGAATGCTTTTCTTTTTTTAAGCCCCTTTACTCTCTCCTTTGAACTTTTTCCATTCTCTCTTTTTAGCATGTTCATTCTCTTTATCATATCTAATCAATGAGAAATTACACATCACAATTATAATAACAAATTTCACCCAACATAAAAAATTACATAACACAATTATAATAAAATATACATTCTCCTTACTATATATAATCAATGAGATATTTACAGTGCAATTATAATAAAAAATTTCACCCACCATAAAAAATTACACAACACAATTATAAAAAAAAAATCACCCAACATACTCCTCATAAGAGATTAGTAAAAGCTCAATTAAAATAAGATACTTCTTTAGTTTCCTCCAATACTTCAAAATTTTCTACTGCAAATACCAAACTTCCAGTTTACTAATCAAACTTCTTCCCATTTTTTAACTTGTACCATAAAGATTTTTAATTTGGTATCATAAATTTATTGCTTATTTGAAATTATATAGATAGGCATTTGAAATACTTCTATAAAAACTAAATAAAAGCTTATCACAATAAAAACATGTTATTCCAATCATATTATTCCAATGACTTATCATGTTGAAACCAAAGTCTAACCATTTTAGAATATATGTGATTCCATGTAAGTGCCAAAGGCATGTAAAATAAGTAAAAAATTATTTTGATGATGACTTTTGAATAGTACAAGTTATTATTAAAAAATCTTTTTGAAATGGTGATGATGTTATTATTAGGAAATCTTTTTAGAATGATGTGATCATAAATTTAATTTCACATTTCAATAGAATTTTGTGACAAAATAAAGATAGAAATGATAGTTTATAAACAAGTACTGGTAAAATGTTGGTAATACATTTCCCATATTTATTCTAGACATAGTCAAACAATAGCCATGTATTTCTTAAGTTACATCTAAATACTATACAAACAGTAACAATCCATTTGCGGTATTACGCAGACAATATATTTCTAAATATCCAAACGACCACTAAAGGCATATGGAGAGAGAGTGGGGAGGGGAAGCGATAAAAATAGGAACTTTGTTATTTATATTGTTTCAATATCTGAATAAGTGGAGTGGACTGATCGTAAAACTTCTTATCCAGATCAGTCCACATTATTCATCCTAACAAAATTTAAAATTAAAATATAAAAGCGAATAAAATAAAGCTTCAGGCTGGAAGGTGAATATAGGGGATCTAAAAACATACTATATAAGCATAAAAGAAAAGAAAATATGAAAAGGGTAAATTTAGGGGAACGAGGTCATTACCACTATCCCGAAATTTAATTGATAGGAGTGAATATAGAGCGGATATAGAGAACAGAATTAACAAACAGTCCAAAGACGAGAGAGAGTAAAATTTTTTGAGAAATTTATCGATTATTATTAAAATTTGAACTATTTATCAACAATATTCATCAATACCATATCTTATCTAATTTTAAAAGAAAAAATTTATATAAGGTCGTGACTTTAAAATGTAGAATTAAAGATGCACCTCAAAAATCCATAAGATAAGGTTGCTTTAATGTTGAAAAATGCTCTACTTTATCATCTCGACATTGAGATGCAAGAATATGAGAAAAAAAAAAAAAAAGATTTTGAGTCTTGGAAATAGTGCATCTTGAGACACTACATCTAGACCGTTCATTTCCTAGATTTTCATATGTTTATAGATCTACTTGATTTTAATCATTTTTGGAGTGTAAAATTTTATAATTAAAATAGATTTTGAGATAATCCTAAGAATTTTTTAGGCTAGAAATACATATTATGATAAAATTTTGAGGTATGCTTTAATCGGATTGTTTCAGGTTGCAACCTTATAGAAACCATACCCAATTTTAAATCATTCATCGTTCTTTTGATCAAATTCCATATAACAAATGAAACATTACATGACTTTTCAAATTTATCAAATTACGCCTAATAAAATTGTTAATTTTTTTAGAGAAAATTACATATGGATACCATTGGAGGGCCCTCATTACCATTTGGTGATATTGTTGCCTAATATTATTAGCACCCCCCGCCCTCCTGGGTGATATTGTTGCCCAGTATTACGAGAACCCCCCCCTCCCCCCTCCTTGCGGTTTTTTTTTTTTTTTTCGTAGTTTTCCTCCTATACGGTAATGACAATACCAGACAAGAAGTCAATTTTTTCTACAATCACCAAGTGTTGTCCAACGTTCGAATTACCGAACAATTTGCTCTTTTGTTAAAGTTGTTGTCTGGCAATGTTGACATCAGACAACTCTTTAGTTCTATGTTGTTCGGTGTTTGTATTATTTGACAGCTCTTTCTTTTTATTTTCTATTTACAAATAATTCAGGACATGAAAATACGCTATATTTTATATTTTATATTTGCTTAACACAATATATTTATATAACATATATTTTATTATATAATACATTTTATTTATGTAATAGATATTTATAATATATTATAAATAGAAATATATTAATAAAACCCCAAATTTTTCATGTCAAAATTATTTGTAAATAAAAATTGTTTGGTATTAGAACTACCGGGCAACAACTTAACAAAAGAGCTAGTTGTCCGGTAATGTGAATGTCAGATGACTCTTGACGACTGCGGAAAGAATGGGCTTCTTGTCCAATGTTTTCATTGCCGGACAGGAAGGCAACTAAACAAAAAAAGAGATGGATAACACAAAATTTTAGAGATGGAGAGGAAGCATTAGATAAAGGTACTAATTCACATTAAATAGCTATAAGTGATTGTGACGTCTTTATGCCAAAAATAAATGGTAACCCCAATTAGAGAAGAGAAAGTACACTGTCTACAGAAACATCTATGGAACTGACATAAAATTGACATGTGTGAGAGAGTAACAAAAGGCTAAAGGTACATAAAAATCAGGGTCGGCAATGGCCCGGTCATCGAATGATAGAGAGATGAGAAAGAGAGACAAGATCCACGTGAACAAATGGAGAGAGTGCAAAATTTTAGAGAGGGAGAGGAGGCATTAGATAAGGGATGCTATTTCACGTTTAATGGCTAAAAGTTATTGTAATATTTTTGTATAAAAAATAAATGATCTCATTACGAGAATGAGGTTGGGATCATGTTGGTAGCACCACTGGTGCCCTAACTAAAATCTATGCTTCCATACTCACTTAACGCATTAAAAAACCACTAACGATTGAAAAAACAAATAGGGGCTCATTATCCCCACCGAATTACCTCAAAAAAAAAAAAAGGATTGCATAGCTTACAATCCCAACTAGATAAGAAAAAATACACCATTTACATAAATAGCTATGGATTACGGCTCAACTCCCAAGGAGTTGATATAGAATTGATATGAGAGATAGCGAGCAAGTATAAAAAGATTAAACGTACATAAAAATTAAGGGTGGCAGCCCGGTCAGACTGGGCTTAAGAAATAAGGGCCTGGGGCCACAAAATGTGGCCCGAACGTCGGGCTTGAGTCAGGCCAAGGCATGC